CACACACACACACACACACACACACACACACACACACACACACACACAATAATGTAATAGAGAACCCACAAAACTTAATGTTAGCTGAGCTATGGCAGTGAGAGCACTGTTAGATGGGAATGTAAAAGCCTAGTGCTAGATAAGGATCATTTGTGCTTGTCTACTGGCTGCTTCTGACTTCATAGGAGGGAGATGGTGTGTTCATTTCCCATCCTTAGGAGCTGTATGATGGAGTTCTTCAGACCAGTCATGTCAGATTATAGGAACAATGTCAGCTAAATTTTAAAGTTCTTTACAAATTGCAAACATTTTATATTTCTCAATCAAAGTTCAGGAGTTAAGTGGTCATGATGAGGACTTAGGAAAGGCTTAAATTTGCTAAACAGCCTAAGATATTTTATAGTCATATTTAGGGATGATAATTTTCATATATATATCTGTATACACACCCTAGTACAAGGATTGCATTCCTCATAAATTTAGTAAGTTTTTTTATATTGTTTCTTGGTTTTTGACAGGTGGTTTGTGATGAAGGTGACAAATTAACCTATTCAAAGTATGGACGGTTTTGTCATGAGGTCAAAATTAACTATTCTCCATATGTGAATTATTTCACTCGAGTGTACTGGAACAGATCCTACTTTGTATATAAAGTCAACACTGTGATATCCTTCCAGTCTTGAAAATTACAGCCTTCCCTTCAGAGACCTGCTACTTGAAGTAAAATGCAATTTTCTGGACCTACACGGAGTCTTGCAAAAAGACTATGGAATCTGGAATGCTGCTGCTCTTCCCATGCCTGCTGCTGATTCTTGGGTTTAGGGTTCTGTTGGCAGTAGAAGATCAGATATCGCTGTCTTTAGTAAAATCTCAAGTCCACTGCTTCAACCTTCTTGACAGGTTTTACTTACTTACTACATGATTTAAAGATTTCCCTGTTGCATCATCTCCTCATAAATCTTATCTGTCATAATATAGGTCTTTAATTTGGATATTTTTCAGGGTCAGTGTTTACTTCAAAAACATAATTTTTAATGAGTACTTAATGTGATTTAATTCTGTAGTAGAAGAGAAAATTCTCCAAGCAAGTTTGTAACAGTTATAAATTTTTTACAACTAAAAGTAATTTAAATGTTAGTTAAAAATATGTGACATTTAAATTAAAAGGGAAATAACATAAAGGAAAGTGATTGTTTTTATGATACTGTTCCTGTCATCTGCTGCTCAAGTGACTTAGCAGGTTCTTAGCAATACATAGGATGAATTAGTACTTTAATTACTCCATAACTATTAAGTGATTGCCTTTTCTCACTTATGCCCATTAAGTTAACAATTTAATCATGCTAAAACAATAACTTATGTTTGTTTATATATATATATATATATATGTGTGTGTGTGTGTGTGTATACATGTATATGTGTGTATATACATACTGACACATATACATGGACATATATGCATACACATATATATGTATATATATGGACAATTTAAAAGAATTTTGTAGGGTTTTTTTGCCTGTGGAGTATACAGTTCTAATCACACGTTTTCTATGGACACAATAAGTAAAAATAATTAACACTGTCACAGTAATAATATGTAGACTACCGTGGGCACCAGTTTCTGGAGGAGTCTGCAGATGCTTTTAAACACACCTCTGCATATAGGTGTATTGGCTATAAACTATAACCAGTAAAGTGATATTATTCGTGAAACAATACATGCTTAACAGCAAGAGCAAAACGAGGGTTAAATAAAATTTTCAACAATTCACAGTATAAATGCTATATTCCTTTATATTCCTTTGTGTATTTTCAGTTTTATATCACTAAAAGAAATTCTAAGCCAGTGTAGTGACTTGTGCCTTTAATCCCAGCATATGGGAAGCAAAGGCAGGTAGATTTCTGTGAATTCCAGGACAACCAGAGTTGTCTTTGGAGAGGGGGAAAAATTGTAAATTAATTTGTCCTCTTAAAGAGATTTAAGATGCCTTTAATCCCACCACTTAGAGGCAGAGTCGGGTGGATCTCTGTGAATTTGAGGCCAACCTGGTCTACAAAGCAAGTTCCAGGACAGCCAGGATTGTTACACAGAGTAACCCTGTCTTGAAAAAAACCAAAAAGAAAAAAAGAGAGAGAGAGCTTCAGGAAAGATGAAGCCTGTAGATAAATGGTTTTTAATAAAATGAATATTTAATTTTCTATTATACATTTGTTCTGTGAACAGTTTCTCTAACTTTTTATTTGTTATAGTGCTATAAGATTGCATTTTCGGCATTGGTGGTGCCGCCTTTATTCCCAGCACTAGGGAGGCAGAGGCAGGCAAATCTGTGTGAGTTCAAGGCCAGCCTGATCTCCAGAGCGAGTGCCAGGATAGGCTCCAAAGCTACACAGAGAAACCCTGTCTCGAAAAACCAAAAAAAAAAAAAAAAAAAAAGATTGCATTTTCAGAACTCCAAATTACCACATCGGGAGGCAAAATACTTCCTTTCTTTGTGTGATACATATGTACATATATTTTTTTTTCAAGTATGTGCACTTAGAATAACTTTAAGATGCTTTACCATTGTGGAGCTTTACTGACATCTGTCATACCTTCTAGTTAGAGCAGTGGTCCCGTTCATTCTTCTACATCCTTATTGTAACTATAGAAAAGCAGCTATAGCAATGGATCTCAGACTGACTCTGAACACCTTGATAGCCAAGTAGTGGTTAGCATCAGACTTTATTGAAAATTACAGGCTAGTATGCAGTGAGTAGTCTTGTGGTCATATTGTATGAAAGCATGTGGAAACAGCTTATGTATTGTAATGGGAAGTCCAAACCCTGTTTCCCTTGTAATATGAAATATTCAATTGAATTTTTACTGACATGGTAGCATGTGGTGTTTTAGTTTTTGTTTTACTTGCTGTAATAGTAAGTTGCTTGCTTCTGTTACCATATTTCTTAAATAGCTAGAAAGAACTTTTTAGTTGAAAGTTTATAA